ACATTAAAATGAAAAAACCTAAATAAAGAAAACAGATGATAGGGTGTTTTTAATATGGTACTCTTAAAATTACGAATCAGAAGGTGAAAACACAACTAGAATTATTAACAAAGCCTGTAATAGGCCATTTACTAAAATAAATGGAAATGGCAAGTGGACATAGGCATAAATATTCAAACTCACTAGCAATCAAAAAATGCAATTTTAGCATGAATGCAAACCAATTTTTTGCCTATTGAATTTGAAAAGAATTTCTAAAATCTAATTCACTAGGTAGAAGGTGAGGAAAATGAGCACATTCAATCACGGCTGACAGGCATGTTAATTACTAGAAACTTACTTTAGTTCAATTTAGAAATATTTATCAGAAACTCTGAAAATATTCATGCCATTTTACTTAGGAAATATTACCCTAGGGGACTAATACAAAATATGTGCAACAATATGGTGTAATAGGAAATGGTATATAATACAAAAAAAATAGACTGAAATTTCTAAATGTTTACCAAGAAGAGAGGTTAAATGATTCATAAGTACAGATATAGAATTCCAATACAAAATAAATTTGAATTTTTATAGATGTAAACAAAATGAGAAATACAGAGGTAATAGTAAAAAAAGCCCCTATGGATTAATACACATTTTAATTATCTAATCCTGTCCACCATAATGAAAAAAGTAATTTTTTTCATCTTGTGTTATTAAGAAAGTAAAGAAAGTAGATGACTTGCATAGTTTCTATATACTAAAAGCTAATTTCTATTCAACTATAGTAACATATTCTATTTTAATAAGTAACACTGTCTGCTAATTTACTCCCTGTGGCAGCCCTCTAAAATCATGCTTTTTATCTCTACTGATAAATGAGGAAATTACCATTTATGAAACTGCAATTAAAAACTAAGTAGATTGTTTTCTATATATGACTGTATCCATGAGCAAAAGGACTATCTTTTGTACTAAAAAAAAACAATTTATCTAAACAGAGAAAAAAAGCAAACATTCTTTAAAAGAATGAATAATCAATCAAAGACTTTGACCACATATTAGCTAACAAACTATGCCTCAATAAATTCCAAGGAATTAACACTGTAAGATGACATTCTAAGCTGATAGCAACATAAAAATATCATGTATAAAGGAATGTATTTTACAATTCTATATATTTGGAAAATAAACAAGGATCTACTAAATTACACTTAAATAATTGAGAATAAACAATAAATATCTTAAAATTTAAAAATATTCATCATGAATGAAAATTACATAAACACATGTGTATTTAAATTTGTAAGATACATACATTAAAGCAGTATTTAGAGAAATTGGAATACACTTTCAAGAAATGTGAAGGATTTATTGCAAACTAGTTGAGAATTTAAATCTAGCACAGAAGAAAATTTAATAAAATTCATAATTACAGAACAAATTAACAGAAACAAGGAGTATAAATTTACAACAGGAAAAATTGAAACAGAAAAATTTAACTATGAACTTTTAATATTATTAAGACTGACTCTAGCATAAAAGATAAAATTTAAAAATGAAGGAAAAGAGAAAGAAGATAAGTTGTATTGTTAAAAGGCATACTGATGATGAATATTATGGTGATTGTATTAAATAATGCTATATAATGCCTATATATGCCATATATATAGTTTTTAAAAGTATCCAAATTGTCTCTTTAAACTTATATTGACTTCTAAATTTGCCTATAAGTTTTAAAGACAGATTAGTGGTAACAACAGCCTTCCTAAAGTTTTGGACAATGATGATTCCATAGGTGAATTTCTTTCAACTTATTCTAAAAAAAAAACCACACACACACACACCAAATAGTGTCCAATTGATTAAATAAAATTAATATAATCTTACCTTCAAAATTAGATGAGGATAGTATAAAAAAGAAAATTAACTCTCATTCATTGCTGGTGGAAACGCAAAATTGTATAGACACCTTAGAAGACAGTTTGGTAGTTTCTTATGAAACAAAACAGAATTTTACCATATTGTTACTGAAACACCAGGGGTATGGTCTAGGACCTGCTGCCCACTGCACAGAAAGCCAATTATTGAGACAAGGAGTACTGCCAAGGAAGAAGTCTTATTTGGGTGCTGCAGCTGAGGAGATGGGAGATAAGTTTTAAATCCATCTCCTGGGACAACTAAAATTAGTGGTTTTCGCAACAGGGAACAAATGTAACCAGGTGTGGGAAAACAGGAATTAGGGACCTGTAAGGAAAAGGAGTTGGTCAACAGGAACAGGTGGTTTGTTAGACAATAATGAAGAGTGAGGGGTCTGGCTCCTCACTGTTCAAATGCAGTGATCTAGTCAGTTTCTGGTCCTTGTTACTTTCTAGGAGGCTTGACAGTGGGTTTCCTGAGAAAGGAACTCAGATAAGACTAATGTAACTTTCTCAAGTGCTAAGACTGGGAGGATCAATTTCTGTGTTTTTTCAAAGAAATCATAAACATCTGCTCTATAGGATAACTGGGTGTGTTTCAATATGATCCAGCAATTGCATACCTTAGTATTTACGTAAGTGATTTAAAAACATATGTCCACACAAACCTTGAACATGGATGTTTATATCACCTTTTTTCATAATTCCTAAAACTTAAAAGTAACCAAGGTGACCTTCAGTTTGTGAACAGATATACTTTGGTACTCTAGACAAAGGAATATTATCCAGCAATAAAAAGAAATGAGCTATCAATTTTCAGTGTTGCCATTACTTTTGACCATCTTGCCATTACTTTTGCACCAGCCTAATAATAGGTGGAACACAGAGGATTTTTAGGGCAGTGAAAATACTCTGTGATACTTTAAGAATGGATATGTTTTACTATACATTTGTCCATACTCAGAATGCATAACACCATCAGTGTACCTTAATGTAAACTATGAACTTTGAGTGATAATAATATGTCATTGTAGGCTTATGATTGTAATAAATGTACCACTCTGATTAGGATGTTTGTAAAGGCAGATGTGCACATGTCAGGGCAGAGGTTATTTGAGAACTCTGCATTTTCCATTAAATTTGTTGTGAAATTAAAATTGCTCTAAAACATAAAATGAACGTTACTTTTAATTTATCTAGAAAAATATAAAGACCTTAATGTAATCATTGAATATTATATGAAAGAAAACATTCTAGGCTCTCGGTATAAAGTACAGAACTTAAAAATGTCAAATTATGGTTAACATGGACCTTGCAGTCTAATGAGAGAAAACAGATAATAAAATAATCATTATGTATGTCTCTATAGGAATTAAAATTTTATAGAGAAAAATACATCAAAATAAGCATACAGAGGTTTTTCTGTTTTTTCGTGAGATGATAAGAAAATGGCTGTCTGATTAGATGATGAAGTCAGTGCCATTAGTGCCACATACTAATCCTCATTCTAGTAAATAAACAGGAAGGAGAAAAAAGATAAATATAGGTTATGGCCTGCAATAAGGATGTAGTTCACCCTACTAACCCTGGTCTTGTATGTCTTCCCAGAAGATTTGACCAACCATGTAAATTCACTCCTTCCAGATGTACTTTGATGTGAGTAGGAAGTATTAAAGAGCAGTGTAAAGAGTGGACTGTATTGGATACTGTCAGAGACTTCCTAAGATTCCTTTTATTAATTGGTGCATACTTTCCCCAGCTGCTGTCAGTGTTGTATATTAACAAGTCATAGCTTCTCTCTTTTCTAGAAAATTGTTCTTGGACAAACAAGTTCTAGTTTGGAAATTAATCCTTATCCCCTCCCTGCCAAAAATTTTGCCATTGGCTAAGTGTGGTGAAGAGATTTAATCTTGAAGGTGGGATTAAATCTGTGGAGTAATTTGTGGGACAGAGCTTTCTGGTGTGAAGTGGTTACTGTAGGCTTCTGCCTCAATTTGGGACAGATCTGAAGGCTTTAGCTCCACTAAGAATTGGCTTGAAGGTTATTGAATTCACAGTGTAGGTCACCTTTCCTCTGTCTGCCCAAACCTGAATCTCCCACTTTCAGAGAAGGCTGTTTCCTGAGAGTATACCTGATAAATCTTCTTAAACCTTCTAGCTTCAAGTCTGCTTCCAAGAAACGAAAACACTCTGAGATCAAACTGAAACTATCTCAGGCTTATATCATACACACACACACACACACACACACACACACACACACCCCATATATATGTATATGGTGTATATACATGTGATATATGCCATATATATATCACATGTATATACACCATATACATATATATGGTGTGTGTGTGTGTGTGTGTGTATTTATATATATATATATATAAGTTTTTGCCTTGCTTTTCTGGTTTACTTCACTTCCCTTTTACGGAAGTAAACCCCCAATAAATAACACAAGCAAGGTTGTCTTGGCTGCCACTTCTGAGGAACTGGCATAAAAGAGATGATATTTGAGTGATGAAGTGAATAAAGTAAAAATTAAAAAAATAATTTTGTGTGTATAGAGTATATCAGACAGAAAACCAATGACAATTAAATAGGTAGAAGAACAGGCAGAAGTACAGTGTGGCTAGCACAGAGTCAGTAATGTGGGAAATGGGGGGAGGTTAAAAAACGGCCTTTCAGGTCTTTGGGGATGATACAAGGAAATGATATGGGGAAAAATTGAAAGATGTAGAGGTAATGAGCTGGTTTATATTTTATATTTTAGAAGGACCATCCTGGGTGTTCTAGGCTCCTAGATTATAGAAGGTTGAAAGGTAGAATACAAAACTCTATCTGTGTGTGTGAATATGTGTGTCTTAAATTCCTCAGTGTATTAAAAAATCATCCTTCTCGTGTAAGATTATCTTCTGAATGCAAGGATGGTCTGTCAACATCAGAAAATCTATGAATCTAATTTATAATATTTAGAAAAGTCTAAGAAGAAAAAACATTGTTTATCTTTTTAGGTCCAAAAAGCATAACAAAATTCATCATATGTTTATGATAATAATTTTAGCTAGCCAAGAACATAAGATGAAATACCAAATTTAATTTGTGTTACATTTTTAAAACATGCAACAAATATTTTATTAAGTGTACTAAATCAGGTTATTTTAAGCTATATAGTAACCAAATATCCCCAAATCCCAGGAGCCTAATAAAATAAAAGTCTGTTTGTTGCTCATATCACACAATTATGCAAGTTACCCAGTTCTCCTGAGTGACTATTTTAGTGCCTAGATCCTAACAGAGATCCATATTTTCTCACCTTGTGATTCCAGGATGCTGACTGGAAAGACTTTCTCAGAGTCTCTCTCTCAGATTACTTACATATAGACACTCAGCAGAGAAGACAGAGAAGATTGCAGGGAACATTTTATAGTTAGTCCAGGAAGTGATAAATATATTACCTTAGCCACAACCTTTGGACACAAGGCCCTATTATAAGGTAAGCCAGGTGAATAATATAATCTGTAATATAATTCTTGAGTGCCTAAGGAAAAAAAAAATAGATTGGTGAGCCTCTAACTAGTTTAGTCAAGAGTGACAAATCTATAGCCGGTTCCACCGAAGTGAAGGTGGCCCTGGGGACTCTTGAACTTGAGACTGGTGTCTGAAGTGAGGGCATACTAGTGGAGGACTATTGCGCCTTCACCTGTGTAACTTGGCGTAAACAACACATAATTTGGCATTACAATTTTGGTAGATTTTATAATCTTGTCAGTCAGATATTCCATTGTGGATTTATTTTATTATAAAATAATATATCTTTTTAAAATGCTTGCAGATGTGAGTTTCTTTTTTTCATTGTGCTGTCTTTTCCCAACCTACTTTTCCTATTTTCTGTGCTGTTTTGTTTTTCATCTTTTGTAAGAATTTTTATAAATTCTAGATATTATTTATCTGCCATCTCTCATTAATGCTTTGTCTATGTTGGCTTTGGTTGAACAGAACTACTCAATTTTGATATGTTAAAAAAGGCCTCATTTAAAAAGTTCTTTTCCACCACAAAGTCATAAAAATATTATCCCATATGAGTTGTATTTAATTTGTAGTAATATATTTTATATTTTGATATTTAATCCACTTTTGTATCTTCCGGTTTTCACTTCATTATTCTTCATGTAATTAGTTATTTTATTGAAAACTGCTCTCCAAAGAGTCCTCCAATTACACATAAATTTCTGATGGAAACGTTATTGCATATAAGTTTACAACACATATTGCTTTTTCTAAGGTTTTAATATTTTCTCATAGGTCTAGGTGTCTGTTCCTGTGCTAAGGATCTATTGTTTTCACTACTATGGCTGAGATGGAGCAGGGACCCATTTTAGGGGTCTGCCAGGCCCCCTTTTAGCATGAAAATAAAGAATAATCTTGAGTCCCCTCAAGAGAAATTTCAGGCATCTGGCTAGCCTTGAGAAGTATATAAGCAACTTGATAAGCAAGAAGGTAAAAACAGCTAAAAGAATAGTCAGGAAAATTAGAGTTTGATTTCTTATAGAAACTAAAGATAATATCTTTTCAGAAATCTGCACCCACCTCCCAACCAAATGGAAAATGTCATATGCTGGCACATAGACCTCAGATAAGGGACAACTAAGGGCTGAACTCTAGCTGCTGTTCTTTGTTCTAAATTTCTTCCCAAAGGGCCTGGAGAAAGTCACATTAACAGCCCATGTCTTAACATTCCTTTCTCTGACTTCATTTTTTTTTTTAGACAAAGCTAAATCAATCACAGATCAGAGAATCTTTGAATACACTTATAACTGGTAACCCCCCCACTTCAGGATATTCTACCTTTTTAGGCCAAACCAATGCATAACCTCCCGGTATTGATTTACGATTTGCCTGGGGACAACAGAAGGTTTGCATTTGGAACCCTTGGGAAAATAAGGAAACACGGACTGTTTTGGGAGGAACTTCTGTTTTTCTCATGAAACCCCAAGTATTGCAAGGGGACAGATTCCTCTCAAACCTAAAGCTCCGTTCTCTTTTGTGTTGTGTTACCTGATCTTTTGGCTTTTGAGGGTACCAGTAATTACTCTGGATATGAGAAACTTTAAAAACTAGAAAATGAAGAATCTTATCAATCTATAAAATCTGCTTCTGTCTGTGTGCCTGTATGTCTATTACTATATGTTTATATGTGTCATGTGTGTGTGATGTTTCACTACCAATATATATATAGGAGTTCTAATCAATTGGCTTAAAAAAGAGTGAGCACTTAGATTAAATAAGACTTTTTCAGAAAACCAGAACTGTAACTTAAGTTTTTTTTTAGTTCAAATGACTTTGGTATTCTTTGGTAAATAAAGATAGTTTTAAATTATTGGCAAAATACAACGGGAACATTTTCAGAATTTAGACATTTGTTCTGAATTTAGCAGATCTGATACTGTCTGCTAGATGATTTAAAGTCATAGCTGCTTCTATAACATTTCTGATAATTGTTCAACTTGTCTGGTTCAGAGCCATTAGATTCCAGGTAAAGCCAGGGGACATGTGAGTTAGCCATGCCCCCTGGCTATGCTGGGAAGAGTCAGACATTTTCTGAAGCTCTGTTCTTTGTTCTGACTCTGCAGCAGTCAGTACATAATTAAAATTGCCTATCTCCTAAGTTTTTCACTAAAGTTAAAAGTTGCTAAGAGTTAACATTGAAATATGTAAATATAACTACTGGAGAAACAGTTTTACCTGCAGGGATTAAATTTAGTTTTCTCTTTTGGACAAGATTTTCATGTACTATTGACAGATCATGAAAGACTTTTGTTTGTCTTTTGAATAAAGTGCAAAAAAAAGGGGGTGGAGAAGGAGGGAGAGAGAATAGATTCAGATTCAGTTGACCTCATGATGTCTTAATTGGGTCTTGTTGTTTGGAAAGTGGAGTCTTCATTCTATGAAAGAATGCTTTTTGAAATTTTTCAGTTATCACTTTGGCTAAATGAATGATCTGTGATACTATTTTGTGATATCAAGTGTTTTAAACCTTTGATATTTGACAAACTTTTCAAAATAAAATTCTAAATTTAGTATTTTGATCTCCTAACTTTTCATAGAGGTCTAAGAGAAACATATATTTGACTGATTTGGTACATGAAAATTATACAGAAAGACTGTCAGATATTAAATAGTGTTTAGCTTTCTGTGGGTTGTATTTGTATTTAACCATAGCTGTTCTGAGACTTTTGTCATTCATAATTATTGTTTTACTTTGAGTCTTCTTAGAAAGTGATTTATTAAAAGCTACAGTTCAGAACTTTTTTTTTTTTTGAGACATAGTCTTGCTCTGTCACACAGGCTGGAGTATGCTGGCATGATTTTGGCTCCCTGCAGCCTCCACCTCCTAGGTTGAAGTGATTCTTGTGCCTCGGCCTCTTGAGTAGCTGGGTCCACAGGTGTGTACTACCACACTCAGCTAATTTTTTTTTTTTTTTTTTTGGTAGAGATAGGTTTCACCATGTTGGCCAGGCTGGTCTCATATTTTGGGCCTTCAGTAATCTGCCTGCCTCAACCCCCCAAGTGCTGGGATTATGGCACTTTGTGAGCCAGCACACCTCACCCAGAACTTGCTTCTTTAGGAGATTTGATGAAATCTTCTAGGGCTCTCATTAAAGAGACAGTGTATTCATGAGGATTGCTGGCCCAATATCAAGCAGAATAGGAGTTAATTGAATGGACAGAGATAACAGAAGTTTGAAATAATTTTTTATGACTTTTTGTCTAAAACACTGCTGATTTTTTTTGTTTTGCTTTTCAGAGTCAAGAAAACATTTTTCTTTTGAGTTATTCACAGCTTTTAACAATTGAGTAAATTATATTCTTTTGAGCAAAATTTGAAACATATTGCTTTCTTTGTACCTGATTTGTCTAGAAGTTGGAAAGTATTTCTGAATATTCTTAATTTATAGCAATCTAGTTATTTGCATAAAGTCAATAGAACTGTTTTCTTTTATAATAGGACACAGAGACACTGGTTATTTTACCAAGGCTTTGATTGGAACAGCATATTTTCTGATATGAGCATACTGCTTTGAGGAATTTATATGTATAATGGAGTCAATAAAAGCCCCCTGGAAAACCTCAAATCATATCGATGCAGTTCCTTTATAGGATTCTTGACCTGTGACAAGTAAAGAATGTCACTGTCTGATAGGCCCAGGAAACTTAAATTACTCTGGGACCTTGGGAAGAGAAGAATTCACCCAATTCATATAAGTATCTGCAGGCACAGACAAAGCCTTGCCTGGATATAGGTTTTTGTAAAGGTCTAATCTGAGATTCCTTATAGAAAAGTTACACCTTAGCTTTACTTTCAAAAGAGCTAAGCTTTACCAAAAAGCTTATAAGGGAAATAATTATTTTTGCTACACTTTATGGAAATAAGCAGGCCGTGGATAATAAGACTAAAACTTATTTTGCAAATAAATTGTAGTGTGATTTGTCTTTGGTAAAAATGAGGGACTGGAGAGAGAAAAATATATGATTAAGAAGAAAACTAGAGGTACACCTATTATTAGATTCTAGCCTTGCCTATTGTTAAGTTTTTATTCTTTTCTACAGTTTGAACTGAATCCTAAATTCTTTTCTGGCTATAAGTCTCCAAACTAACATTTTCAAATTTTTCTCCCGTTTTTCTATCTTGGACTCAGTGAAATTTCTACTACCTTTTTTCTGAGTCCCTGAAAACTAAAACGTATTCCTTATGATATGGATGAAGAAAAGAAAAAAAGGCCTGTCAGATTATTACGGCCCTTTTCCTCTTTGACTGAAGATGCTTTCAGTGTAATGTTTGAACATTTCAAGTGGCTGCCATCCAGACTTTAAGGGAACTTGTTTAGAGAGTGTTCTTTATCTTAATCTTTGTTTTTCTTCTGTGTGCATTGAAATGCCTTTTATTAAAAATATGTTTGTCCTTACTGTAAATAGACGCTTAGACCATCTGCAATGTCACTTCTTGGAATGTGACACAGCTGTTTAACTGAACTGCTCTATTCTCAGTACAAAGAAGTTGACGGAAGAAGAGGTATGGAATAACATATTTAAGTTTGTGTTTTTTTTCTGTTTACCTCAATTTGTCTTTCCAACAACCTGTAATCCAAATCTCTCAATAACGCCAACAAGATCTACAGCTGGAATATCACATACGTGGTTTCTGGAGAGCCTGTAAAAAGAATATATGGCTCAATTTCATTTTGTCTATGCTCTCCATGATGGAGTCCATCAGTGGACTTACCCGAGAAGGGTATTACCTGTGCACTCAAGGGGTATACTTTTTTGTGGCATAGGGTCAAATCCTCCTTAACAAGAATGGGCTCATTCTTGTCTCAACAGTCTTTTAAGGATACTGCTTCCTAGTTATACACTGTATGCCATCGGTGACATTATCAGACACCTATCTTCTACCTTAGGGATAATTTTATTTTTTTCCAACAGAGTCTTGCTCTGCTGCCAGGCTGGAGTGTAGTGGTGCAATCTTGGCTCACAACCTCCACCTTCTGGGTTCAAGTGATTCCCCTGCCTCAGCCTCCTAAGTAGCTGGGACTACAGGTGCACGCCATCACGCCCAGCTAATTTTTGTATTTTTAATAGAGACGGGGCTTCTCCATGTTGGCCAGGATGGTCTCAATCTCCTGATCTCGTGATCCGCCTGCCTCAGCCTCCCAAAGTGCTGGGATTACAGGCATGAATGACCGTGCCTGGTCCTTTGGGATAATTGTTTTGGGGCTCAGCAAAGTTCCCTTAACTTATTAGTTCAGGTAGTCATAGATAATTGGCACATGCTAGATTTCCTGTTGGTTAAATAAGAGGAAGTCTGTGCAGTGTTAGCACCACTACTTAAACACAAAAAGTTAAAACCTGAATAGAAAAAAACCTCCCAACAAGTGACATGATTACAGCAGGTCTCCACTAATAGCTTCATGTCTGATTGTTTTTGGGGGTTATTAACGTGGATTCCTCAAGCTTTAGATCATTTTTACAGGGATTTCTGAAACTCAGATTTTTACTCCTTTCATTAGAGCTTATTATTTACAGTCTGCTGTTATCTTGGGGTTGTGCTAAAACTGTGGATGAAACAGTAGTGTCTTCTTATGCAAACCTTGAGAACTCAACCAGATACCTGTGAGTACATGCAGACAACTGCAGAGATGTTTCATTCCTCAAATGGGTACAATGGCAACCTCAACTGTGCTGTCACCAAAAAGATGCCAGAGAGGTCATCAACCCTGTTTCATCTCACTAGCCCACAATTCAGGAATGAGATGTCCTCACGCCCCAAGGCGGGGCAGGAGAGATGAAACCACGTCCGTAGAAGTATAATTCATGAGAGAAATCTAACATGACTGACACCATTTTGCTTCTAACTCCACAGGCTAAATTTTTTTTTGCTTATTCTAACTGGAGGTGAAGTTAACTATGAGAGGAATTTATAGTTAAACTTTTAGGAAAGAAAAACTAGCTTCCCTCTTTAAAAAAAATAATAAGCCTCATTCATTAGAAAATGTTAGAATTATGTTAGGGGCTTGAGCTTTGCTAAGGAATAGGCATAGTTAAGTAATACCCACTCTTGTTTAGTTTGCTTTTCTGTAAGTTGGTTACTGCCCCAGCCATGTAAATAGAGATTGCAAGATGTCTAACTTCCTCAACTATTCCTAAAGATATCAGTACTGTGAAACCTAAAGAACTGTTCTTGGAGATACTTTTCAGACTTAACATTTTGTGAGATGCCACTTGGTCCTGAGACCTCATGCCCATGAAGGGACTCAGCTACCCAATTTCATTTACAGCCAATCAACTGTTTCAGTTCTCTAGCCCCCTGACCGCCAAAGTAACCTTAAGCATCCCTGGCTTGGAATTCTCAGGGAAGCAGTGTTGAGAAATATCTCCTGTCCTTCCACTTGGCTAGCCCTACAATTATTAAATGCTTTCTTTGCTGCAATGCCTGCTGTTCTCTGTGCATTGGCTTTTTTGGGCAGTGAGTGAGACTAACCCATCAGGCTGTAACAATAATACCAATCGCACTTTTTAAAATTGCTTGTTTATTTATTGCTTCAGGACAAACATCTGGTTTGTATTGATTGTTGTGATTTCATGAGTGTTTCACACAAAATAGAGGATATGGTTGGTGCTCCATAAACATTTATAAAGTAAGCAAGTAAATGAATAATGTTTCCTGGTACAATTTCAGAAGTGTTATTTTGTTTTTTTAGAATTTATTTTCAGAAATTTCAACATAAGATATGTGGCTGATATTACAGAGAAATGTTGACATTCCTAATTTTCAATAAACTAATAATGTATATAAAACTACAAGTAAGTATTTTTACCACTATCCCCATATGCCAAATTTAACCAACGCATTTTAATGTTGGTATTCAGTTGAATGCCCACTTAGAACCAAGTATGGCTTTAGCTTCTGAGGATTGAAAGATGAGCTAATTATAGTTTCTTTCCTTAAGGAGCTCACAATCTATCTACAGTGATGTGTACATGAATTAATTCCAAGAACTCAGGAATGCAGAAGGTGGTGCGAGAACACGGAGAAGGAAATACAATTTGCTATAATGTTGAAGAAGCTAAGGGCAACTCTCAGGAAAGACGATTCTTGAGAGCCAGATCTTAAAGGGTCAATTAGGAAATTAGGTCATCTACATCTGGTCAATTAGGAAAAGACATCTAGTTAGTGTAAACAATATAATTTAGAAAATAAAACCAAAGAAAGAATCAGGTGTGGCTAAATAGGACATTTTTTTGGTGGGGGGTTGGGTGTGTGTGTGTGTGTGTGTGTGTGTGTAACAGAATAAGGATGAGTCTGCAAAGACAGTTTGGGTGCTGATTATGGACAGTGGAATTTCAATTTTATTCAGTGGGCAATAGGAAGTGATTAGTAGTCTTAAACTCATTTATTTTCATTCTAGGGTTGTAGCTTCTTGACTCATGAACTTTTCAGTTTATGGAAAAGCATCATTCAAACTTGATTTAAAAAAGTGACTGAGAAGTCATGCATCAACAACACTTTTCAACCATATGTTGACACTTGGATTTGGCTTATAGATAAAATATATTCTAAAACATTATTTTGAAGTTCATATTTTTGGGTGGGGTTAAACATGCTAAAGCCACAGTATTTGCTGAATCAGGAATATAACTAAACTATCAATACCTCAACTTGACAAAATCTATGTCTACTAACTTGTATTCCACTGCAGACATTAAAATTCTCTGTTGAAAATGGAAATTTGTTGCACACATATACAGTAGAGTAAATTAAATAAAAAAGAGTAATGTAAAGCTGCAGACTCGGATAAATGGTGCATAAATCCAGGTATTAAATTAAATGTTTCACTGGGCAATGATGAAGTGTTATACATTTGCTCTCTCCTGATGTATAAAAAATTGATTAGCTAAATTTAAAATCCACAACATAACTGAATGTTACTCATTTTGCATAATCCCTGAAATGGTGCTTAAGATACATGACAAAAGTCAGCCAGGATCTTAACTCAAAAAGTAATTTCTCATCTGTGTATTTTACATATTTTACACATGAGCTGTGAGGATATAAGATGTATAGAAAGGCAGCAAGAACATTTCCAATGCCATAACTGTTTGAATAATGATGTACTTATTTTCATTGTTATGCCCACTCTGTCAACATGCATGTTATAGGCAGTATGGGTCTGGGCAGTCAGTATTTTTTGGTATCTTATAATTTTACAAGAAATATGTGGCAATTTGGGGAGTATCCTGTATCTCTTCCTGTAAATCTCTAGGAGATTTCCTTAAGTAAGATGCTGACACTAGAGTTGGTGCCACAGCACAAATAACTTGAAGACTTTAGTAGGGTGAAGACATAGACAACCATGGGTCTTCTTGCTCTTCTAGCAACAGGGATCTAAAGTTTGGGCATAGATAGGACATTTATTTCCTTTCAGTAAGAAAATCTGTGTTCACTTGTTAACTGTTTTTTTCAAATTTCTTGTTAAACGAGTAAAACAAATATAAAATTTACATGGAGACAGATATACTTCTAATAATAAAGGGTTTCAGACATCAAAAAATAAAATCCAAACCCAGAATTTAGTGTTAAGTGTTAGCGCCCTATACTACATAATTAAACAAGATTATGCAGAAAGGAAATGAACAAATCTCTGTGGATCTACATTCACAGGAACACATACAAAGCAGGACATCAGAAGTAGTAGGGGGTTGAGAATCATGGGAAACAGGATTGATGATGTGGTAGTAACTTATGTACCTTGAGTAGCTCCTGGCTATACTGTATCAACAGCAAACCCATTTACCTTGGAACATGAACCAATCACTTTTTTTTCTAACACAGATAACTAGGTAATAAACCTTGAAGACTGCTGCAATCCTCACTGAGGGAAGGCTTCAGGAAGCAGGAACAGTTCCTCCGCTAACTCAGGCATGGTTAGCAAAGCAGTTACTTCCCAGTTGTATGTATCACCCTCTCTGTTCTTCACAGCCTAGAATAACCACAGACTAGCCAAATAAAACTACAATAAATACCAGATCTTCCTGTTTCCATTTACAATGGAGCAAGCTGTGTAAAAGCATTGAATATATAATGCAATTTAGGAGAAAAGGGGAGAATCTTATGAGGATTTAAAGGAAATATCCTATTATAAAATGGTTTAGTCTAAAAAACAGAATAAAACATAAACAACTCTAATTAGTATTTTTATTAAGATTGACAAATACTTGGCATTTTTAAGCACGATATGACAAAATCAGCAAAGAAATCTTACAGACCAAAAATGTGATTAAAATTCTAAAACTTTAAGAATTATAAATAAGGAAAAGCTAAAAATATGCTAGGAAAACCATGTAGCTCATTTCCTCACATCTTCACTTCCTTCATATGTGAGCTCCAAGATCACCTCACCTGTGTGACCTTCCCGAACTCCTTCATAAACCTGGAGTCCACTCTGAAGCTGCATTTTTTTTATTTTTTCCATCACTTTTACAACATGCAATATATGCATTTGTTTACTTGCTGATTGTCTGTCTTCCCTGAAAGAAGGCAGGCCTTTTGTGGCCTGTTTAATGTTTTCTTTACTCCACCATCAGAACCCTCCATCATGCATCACTGCTGCTCAGAAATCACCTATGGGATAAAGAAGTGAGGGCTAATAAGAGAGAGCCTCCGACCACAGAGACCTTCCTAACTAAAACCATTGCATCTGCAAAGGCACTAATTTCTTCTTCCAGAAATAAAATAGCTTTGCCTGTTTTAAGAAGGCTATTTCAAGAAAGACTAGATTGTAAATACTCATCTCTCCTACCCCAGTTCTTTAGGAATTATATTTTCATATTAAATTACCTTGAGTCTCTTATGTGAAATCACATAAACTACACTGAGTGTTTAGTGCATACACCCCTAAACTTTATGTCCTTCCAATGCATCTAGATTTGCTTTTAGAATATTTACCATAGCAATTTTTACCCTGGATGTACCATATACTCACCTGTGAATATCTGACAAAATTTAAAAAAACCAGAACCACCTTATACCAACCGAAATCAAATATCTAGAGTAGGAACTGATTATTTTTAAGTTTTTAATAGTTTTTTTAAAAAAAATTCTTAGTAGACACATAATAATTGTACATACCAGGTAATCTTTTGATGCTTGTATACATTGTATAATGATCAAATCAGGTAATTAGCATAGCCATAACCTAAAACAGTTATCATTTATTTGTACTGAAAACATTCAAAATCCTCTTTTCTAGCTATTTTGATATATTAATTGCATTATTTTTAAAAATAGTCATCCTAGTATGCAATAGGACAAAAGAGTTTATTCCTCCTAAGTGTAATTTTGTATCCGTTGGCTAATCTCTCCCCTTTTTCCCCTATATGACCCTCCCCAGTCCTTGGTAATCACTGTTGTATTCTCTACTTCTATAATATCAACTTTTTATATTCCACATATAAATAAGATCATGGAGCATTTATCTTTCTATGTCTGGCTTATTTCAACTAACATTATGCCTTCCAGGTTCCTCTATTGCAACTTTTAAAAGCTCCACTGGAGCTTCTGATACAAAGTGAGTGTTGGAATCTATTGCCTACCATTTTCTCTCTCCCTCAAAACAGCTAATATTTTTCTGTACTACTCACAAAAGATGGCTTCATCTCTATTCTCTTGTACAGATCTTCCATTATCAGTTTTCTGACATGATTGCTAGAAGGCAATAGAGATATGATTGTGTATGCCACAGAAATGTTATTATGTTCATGAAACATCTGGCTTATACAGAGACGCTGTTTAAACAATTTCTGACTTTTCTACCAAGCTTAGAGTGATTCCATATGCTCTAACCTCTCTCCAAAACAGTAGCAATTAAGATTCTCTTTCACACCAGGTAAAGTGCTCAGTGGAAAGCTTACAACCTGGCTTAGAATTTTAGTGAAGCTGACATCTCAGACTATGTCTAGATGACTAGCAGGCAAGGACAGAGAAGATCACATTTCCACGGATACTAAAAGGTATCTTTGGCATAGTTTGGATACTATGCCAATGCTGGGAAAGGCAATGGCCCTACTCATCTGGAGGCTGTACAGGAGATAAAACCCCTCCGGTGAGGATTCACTCTGTGTCAGGTGGTGAGTTTTGCTCCTGCATGGGGCCTCTGTTACCACCAATGTACTCCACTCCACTAAAATCTACTGAGGCTGTCATAAATAATCACAGATTTAAAACTTCTCAGTTTTTCTTTCTTATTTTGTCTTTAACACCTTAACATGCTCTCCTCAATATGGCAAATATAAAATGACCCCTTCATCTCTTGTCTTTGATAACAAAATCTCATTGTGGATATGTCCTAGATCTGAGACACACAAACACCCATTTCCCATTTCTACCCTGGGGGAAGGGAAGCGGTAGAGAGCAAATTCGAGTGTTCTCATTTTACTCCTTAAAAGCCATTATACTCATCATGTTAAATTCTGAGAGTCAAGTTTTGGGCAGTATATCCTGCTACATGTCTAAAAATTTATTTTGCAATTCAGTCCTATTCTGGCTTACATATTTTGTTTCTTAAGAAAGAATGCCCTAATCAGGAAATTCAGTAATGCTCTTTAAATCCCAGCCTACTAAAAATGCAGATTCTTGGGCACAAAATTCAGACAAATTGGATTATCTAGGGATAGAGGCTAAGATTCTCCACCTGTATCAATTCAAATGCTAATAAATCTGAACTTCACTGAACTAAGGAAACAGACAAGTGAGACAGCAGAAAATAAGTACACATATAGTTAAATGTGCTTGAAAATAATGTGCTTTTTCAATCTATAAAATCAATGCAATTCCCATCAAAATACCACCATCATTCTTCACAGAACTAGGAAAAGCAATCCTAAAATTCATATGGAACCAAAAAAAGAACGCACATAGCCAAAACAAGACTAAGCAAAAGGAATAAATCTGAAGGCATATCACATTATCTGACTTTAAACTATAGTATAAGGCCATAGTCACCAAAACAGCATGATACTGGTATAAAAAGAGGCACATAGACCAATTGAAGCAAAGTGCTTACAGTCAACTGATCTACAAAGCAAACAAAAACATAAAGTTAGGAAAGGGCACCCTATTCAACAAATGGTCCTCGGATAATGAGCTAGCCACATTTAGAAGAATGAAACTGGATCTTCGTCTCTTAACTTATACAAAAATTAACTCAAGATGGATCAAAGACTTAAATTTAAAGACTAAAATTAAAGACTTAAACCATAAAAATTCTCAAAGATTATATTGAAAAAATCCTTCTAGACATTGGCTTAGGCAAAGACGTAATGACCAAAAACCCAAAAGCAAATGCAAGAAAAAAAGATAAATAGAAGGGACTTAATTAAACTAAAAAGTTTCTGTGTATATGAAATAATCAGCAGAATTAACAGACAATCCACAAAATGGGGGAAAATCTTCACAATCTATGCATCCAACAAAGGACTAATATCCATAATCTCCAAGGAATTTAAACAAATAAGCAAGAAAAGAATCACATCAAACAGTGGGCTAAGGGCAGGGCGCAGTGATTCATGCCTGCAATTCCAGCACTTTGGAAGGCCAAGGGGGGGGTACCATTTGAGGCCATGTGTTCAGGACCAGCCTGGCCAACATAACGAAAACTCATCTCTACAAAAAGCACAAAAATTACCCAGGCATGGTAATGAGTGCCTGTAATTCTAGCTACTCAGGAGGCTGAGGCAGGAGAATCACTTGAACCCGGGAGGCTAAGGTTGCAATGAGCCAAGATCACACCACTGCACTCCAGCCTGGGTGAAAGAGCAAGACCTCATCTCAAAAAAAAAAAGTGAGCTACTGACATGACTAGACAATTCTCAAAAGAAGGTACACAAATGGCCAACATGGCCAACAAGCATAGCATATGGAAAAATGTTCAACATCACTAATTATCAGGGAGATGCAAATCAAAACCACAATGCAATACCACTTTACATCTGCAAGAATGGCCGTAATCAAAAATCAAAAAATAATGGATGGTGGCATGGATGCAGTGAAAAGGGAACACTTTTACACTACTAGCAGGAATGTAAACTAGGACAACCACTATGGAAAACAGTGTGAAGATTCCTTAAAGAACTAAGGAATCTCCATTTGATCCAGCAATCCCACTACTAGGTGTCTACCCAGAGAATAATAAGTCATTATACAAAGAAGATACTTGCACATACATGTTTATAGCAACACAATTTGCAATTGCAAAACTATGGAACCAGCCCAAATGCCCATCAATTGATGAGTGGATTAAAAAAAATGTGGTACATACATATACCATGGAGTACTACTCAGCCATAAAAAGGAAAAAATAATGGCATTCACAGCAACCTGGATGGAATCAGAGACTATTTTTCTAAGTGAAGTAATTCAAGAATGGAAAGTCAACATCATATATTCTCACTCATAAGTGGGAGCAAAGCTACGAGGATGCAAAGGCATAAGAATGATATAATGGATTTGGGGGACATGGGAGAAAGGGTGGGAAGGGGATGAGAGATAAAAGACTACACATTGGGTATTGTGTACACTGCTTGGGTTATGGGTGCACCTAAATCTCAGAAATCACTGCTAAATAACTTATTCGTGTAATCAAACACCACCTGTTCCCTCAAAATCTACTGAAATAAAAAATAATTATAATGTGCTTTTTATAATTTTTGGCAGGACTGGCTATATGAGTTCTGGGCCCAGCAAAAAATTAAAACGTGGATCCACTGGCTCAAAAACTAAGAATTTCAACACAGTGGTGCTAGAGCATTAAAACAAGTATACTGTCCTTCTAAGTATGGAGCTCCATGTGACCACACAGGTTGCACAGCCATGAATGGCTCTAATCGTTCTACACTTGTCCTTTAGGTCAATTTTGTCAATTGTCTTCTTCAAATCCAAAACATCCTTACTATATTTTTTGTTGCTTGTTTTGTCAGTTTTTAAGAGACATACAGTAAGTCTTCCATCATAATTAGATTATGTATTTCACTATTTAATTCATTAGTTATCCTGTTGGAATTTATTGGGTGCAAACAAATTCAACATTGTTATAAATTTCTTATGTATTGACCATTTATTTTACCATTCTGAAATGTTCCTCTTAACCTCTTGTAATGTCTTGCATGCCATGCAGACATACCTCTGAGATTATTGTCAGGTCAGTTCTAGACCACTGTAATAAAGTGATTGTTGCACTAAAGCAAGTCACACATTTTTTTTTATTTCCCAATGTATATAAAAGTAATGATTAAAGTATAATATAGAATATTCAGTGTGCAATAGCATTATGTCTAAAACAATATTTTTAAAATTATTTCATTGCTAAAAATGCTAATAACCATCTGAGCCTTAGGAGAGTAATAATATATGTTGCTGGTGGACAGTCTTGCTTTAAGATGTTGATGGCTGCTGACTGATTACGATAGTAGTTGCTGAAGGTGGTTGTGGCTGCAGCAATTTCTTAAATTAAAACAAAAATGAAGAATTGCCACATCAGTTGACTCTTCTTTTCATAAAAGATTTCTCTGCAGCACATGAGGCTCTTTGATAGCATTTTGCCCACAGTAAATTTTGTTACAAAATTGGAATCAATCCTCTCAAACTCTGCTGCTGCTTTATCTAAGTATATGTATTACTCTAAATCTTTTGCTATGATTTTGATGATGTTCACAGCATCTTTGTTAGGAGTAGATTCCTTCTCAAGAAACCACTTTCTTTGCTTATTCATAAGAAAACTCATCCATTTGAGTTTTATTATGAGATTGTAGCAATTCAGTCACATGTTCAGGCTCCACTTATAGTTCTCTTGCTATTTCCACCACATCTGCAATTACTTCCTCCATTGAAGCCTTGAACCTCTCAAAGTCATCCATGAAAGCTGGAATCAATTTCTTCCAAATTTGTGTTAATGTTGACATTTTGACCTTTTCCCATGAACTGTACATGTTTTTAATATCATCAAAAATAGTAAGTCATTTCCAGAAGATTTTTAATTTGCTTTACCCAGAGCCACAAGAGGAACCCCTATATATAGTAGCTATAGCCTTATGAAATGTATTTCTTAAATACTAAGATTGGACAGTTCAAATTGCCCCTTGATTCATAAGCTGCAGAATGGATGCAAGCAGGCGTGGAAACAATAACTTTCTTGTACATCTCCATCAGAGCTCTTGGAAGACCAGGTGCATTGTCAACCAGCAGTAATACTTCAAAAGGAATCTTTTTTTCTGAGCTGTAGATCTCAGCAGTGGACTTTAAATATTCAGTAAACCATGCTACAAACAAACAAGTTGTCATCCAGACTCTGTTATTCTATTTTTAGAGCACAGGCAAAGTAGATTTCACATAATTCTTAAAAGCCCCAAAGTTTTATGGTAAATGAGCATTGGTTTAGATGTAAAGTCACTTACTGCCTTAGCCCCTAACAAGAGTCAGGTTAAGCCTTGGTGTTTTGAAGTCAGGCATTGACTTTTCCTCTTTAGCTATGCAAGTCCAAGACGAGAATTCCTTCCAACAGAAGGCTGTTTCATCTACATTGAAAATCTGTTGTTTGGTGTAGCCACCTCCCTCAATTACTTTACCAAGATCTTCTGGATAGCTTGCTACAATTTCTACAATGGCACTTCCTGCTGTACCTTACACTTTAACATGATGGCGACAGCTTCTTTACTTAAACCTCCTGAACCAACCTCTGCCTGTTAGCTTCAAACTTTTCTTCTGCCACTTTCTCAGCTCTCTAAACCTTCATAAAACTGAAGAAAGTTAAAGCCTTGCTCTGGATTAGGTTCTGGCTTAAGGAAATATTGTGCCTGGTTTGATGTTCTATCCAGACAACTGAAACTTTCTCCATATAGCAATAAGGCTGTTTTGTTTTCTTTTCATACAACGTTGATGGGTTCTGGAGTAGCACTTTTAATTTCCTTTAAGAACTTTTCCTTTGTATTCATGCTTGGGTACTTGTTTGGCAGAAGAGGCCTGGCTTTGGGCTTATCTTGCCTTTCAACATGCCTCCCTCACTAAGCTTTATCATTTCTAGCTTTTGATATAAAGTGAGAGAAGTGCAACTCTTCCTTTTACTTTGACAGGTAGAGCCCATTGTAGGGCTGTTAACTGGCCTAATTTCAATATTGTTGTGTGTCAGGGAATAGGGAAGCCTAAGGGGGACGTTGGGGAGAGAATGATGTGGAGCAGCTGGTGGGTGGAGCAGTCAGAACACATACAACATTATCAATTAAGTTTACCATCTTATATAGTCATGGTGCCCCAGAACAATTCCAATAGGTGACATCAAAGATCACTGATCAGAGATCACCATAACAGACGTAAAATAATGAAAGGACTTGAAATATTGTGGTAATTGCCAAAATGTGACACAGAGACATGCAGTTAGTAAACGCTGTTGGAAAAACACCACCAATAGACTTGCTGGACTCATGGTTACTACAAACCTTCAATTAGTAAAAAAATATGACATAATATAATAAAAGTTTTAAAATGTAGCATCCGTGAAGTACAGTAAAGAAAGCACAATAATCTGGAGGATGCCTATACCAGTGATATGGTTTGGATTTGTGTTCCCACCGAATCTCATATCTTAATTGTAATCCCCACTGCTGGAGGTGGGGCCAGGTGGTAGGTGATTGGATCATGGGGGTCCCTTCTCATGAATGGTTTAGCACCCCTCTGTTGGTGCTGTTCTGGGGATGGTGAGTTCTAGTGAGATCTGGTCATTTAAAAGTGTGTAGCACCTCTCCCTTCTCTCTTTCTTCCTCCTGCTCTGGCCATGTGAAGTGTGTGCTCCTGCTTGGCCTTCCACCATTATTGGAATCTTCCTGAGGCCTCCCCAGAAGCAGAAGCTGCTGCTTTCTGTACTGCCTGCAGAACCATGAGCCAATTAAGCCTCTTTTCTTTATAAATCACCCAGTCTCAGCCATTTCTTTATGGCCATAGGAGAATGGCTTAATACAACTGATTTTACTTTGGGCTGCGTTTTCATGAAAAAATGTTTTCTATTGCCTTATTTTCGACCAATCTATTACCTTATATTTAATGTATATCTACTTGGGAACACATAAATTTATTTTACACACACGCGCACGCACCCCGCCCCCCCACAGCCTCCAGTCTGAGTATATTCTTTTTTTTTTGAGATGGAGTCTCCCTCTGTTGCCCAGGCTGGAGTGCAATGGTATGATTTCAGCTCACTGTAACCTCTGCCTCCTGAGTTCAAGCAATTCTCTTGCCTCAGCCTCTTGAGTACCTGGGATTACAGGTGTGCGCCACCATGCCTGGCTAATTTTTGTATTTTTAGTAGAGACGTGATTTTACCATATTGGTCAGGCTGGTCTACGAACTTATGATCCACCCACCTCGGCCTCCCAAAGGGCTGGGATTACAGGCGTGAGCTACGACACCTGGCCGGTATACTTGTTCTTAATTGTAGTATTTAGTTTATCTACATCAGATGTAATCATTGATGAATTTGGTTAAAAAATCTAATAGTTTATCATGTGTTCCATAATATCTTACATTTTCTATGCTGCTTTTCTTGTCTTTCATTAGATAAATTAAGTACAGTCTTTTCCATTTCTCCCTTCTATTGGCCTGTAGACTTGCTAATTTATTTTGCTCGGTGTCTCTCACCCCATATTATAAGGGGTTATACGTTTTTTCTCTTATTTCTTCACCTCTAACTCCGATATATAGAGTATCAAAAAGAGCCTCATGGTTTCTATGCAGAGGACTTTTTCTTAAGCATACCCATGGGCTCTCTGTTAACCCTATCTTCCCTGGGAAGTTGTATATGCTCACTCTTCCCTGCCTGATTGTTACATTTGAAGGAATAACTTGCCATGCTTGATTTATCTGTCATGGTTCTTTCTGAGTATGTAATATACTTAGAAAGTATAGAACTTGAGTAAACACAAGTATTTTATTTTATAAGTAATTTAATAAGAATTTTATTTTATAAGTAATTACTTATTTTATAAGTAATTTTAAAGTTTATATTTTTGACTCATTTAAAAATACATTTCAAATTATGTGCAATCCAGAGTGGGAAGATTAATGATACTGAGCCATAAAGACTGAATTTACTGCTATCTTCATATGAGCAATTGGATCCAGATTTCAGAAGAACAGCAAAGAATGTAGAAGGAATTCCATGGCAACTTGGAAGTCTGATAGCAGTGACTCTTTGACTCATCCTCAAGAAGAGCAGCTGTGAATTTAAGTTTTATTGAGGTGGTGTCAATGCTCCATGATCCTATAGCATCTTGTTAGATGTAGACATCATTTACATGGAAAGAATAGTATTTATCCTGTCAAATCCAGGTAAGTCATATAGTGAAAACCTCTTGGGTTATTTTTTCAGACCGCTTGTTTCTCCTATACAGATGGCTCATCTCAGTCATGTTACTCCTGCATAATACTTTAAGGAGACCATAGCCTTTTACCTCACCACATAATTCTGAATATCGAAAGGACAGAGCAACTGTTAGTTTTTGAGAGCTAAGTTGCTAAAAATTCTTAGCAAGGGAAAATGACCAAGTTCTAAATGTTGAGAATCATTGTTCTAATATTCTTTCTGACATTCTTTCCCATTTTTCTTTGTATTATAATATTCTTTCTGAGCTATTCATTTCTCTCTCCCCTTTTTTCCCTAGGCAAGCTCAGGTTAACAGCCAGTAATGTAGAAATATTGGAGAATCTTATATCTAATGTTGTTTTCAGCTATAATGGAAAGCATTCTGTTCCAACCATAGTATATGATATATAACATTTGCATAGACTTAAAACACACCAGAAACTTATGGACACTGCCTACAATACTTAAAACATCTGATTTTATATTATCCCTGTTAATATATTACTTTATATATATAAAGAAAAATGGGTATATATTAAAGGGTTCTAGGCTCTACGTTTTTTAATTGGATGAATTTTTTAATGAGTTAAATTATAGTAACTTTCAATTGATACATACTCAAATATGTACTTGTCTTTTACCATATATATATTTCATTATCTCTCTCTCCCTTTCTCTCTGTATGTTTACCTGTGTGTGTGTGTCTCAGTTTGTGTTTACAAATGTGTATTTACACACATAAAGTATATATAATCAACAATGAATATTAGAAATAGGGGAATGTTAAATAAGAAACAGATTTTATATATTAGGTATGTACATAATCCCTCAAGAATGAAGCAGCCACTTGTATGCAGGTATGATACCCATAGTATCGTCAGATGTTACTATCAGTTGTTTAAATAATGGTAATTACTTTTCTAGATTTTGAATATGTATTTACAGATACTAAAAATAGATGAAGACAAGTAATTAACAGCACTCTGATAGCTTTAATGATAGAAACAGATGTTCACATTTAAGGCATCAAATCTGAGTGGTTATCATTGAACTGCTGTTCGTAATGGTGTTATGGCCGTCTTTTTCATAGGAGAGAATATTGTAATGCAGATTATTGTGATTGTCTGAAATTATCTCCATGGCTGACAATAGTTATTTTTTTTCCTTTTTTTGCTCTCTTATTTGACAGTTAAATGGAGACTGCATTTAACAAGCACAATTATGTCCTCTCTTGTCTATTATGCGGCATTTAATCAGAACTGCTTAAAGAAAGCCTACAGAGGCATATTCAAGCTCAAGTTCCTCATTTCCACCAAAACCAAAGAAAAATATTCTGCATATTATGTTTCTTAACATTTCATGACTAAAAGGTGAGATATATGATCAATCTAGTAAATGCAATTAGGATTAAGTTTTGTAAAAACAGAATGTAGAAACTTAATCTGAAAATTTTGACTTGGGCCTGCTTGATTTTTTTTTCTATAGCATAACTTGCTTACTTTTAGGACATAATAATTCAGTTATAGCCAATCTTAAAATTTCAATTTTCACTGGGCCAGAGTATCCCTCCTGTAAGTGACATAAGCATTTCTTCCCATTCCTAAGTTTCTAGCAGCAATGGATAAAAACTTAAAGATTTGGGGACTCTATTGTGTGACAGTTCAATTTTTGTTGCTAAGCTTTTAATACACATATAGATATATGTTTTTGGAAGTGCAGAAAACAAAAGCATATAATAAATTCACCAAAATTTACATTTTGAAGTATTTTTCATATTAATTATTCATTAACAACCTAATCGTTAAAGCTTCATATTGTATGTGTATAAACATTGTAAAATTTATTTAGACACTTTCTCCCCTTGCTAGACATTTCGTTTGTTTCCAATTTTTTTCTATTATGAATTACACTAAGATTTAATTTTACACAGAATCTTTCTCTAGCTTTGATTATTCTTTCAGAGTGGAATTTTAGCATTGTTTTAGTGAATTAAAGATTAAGAATTTTAAAATCTTATAATATGTACTAAAAATTGTTCTTGACTTTGTTGAAATCTAGTCTTCCAAATTGTGGAGAGGAATGCAGAATAGCAATTTAAAACAGGGGAGATATCTCATTGTTTAAATGTACATTTCCATTCAGTATGCTCAATATATTAATTAGCTATTTAAATTATTCTCAGTTATTATATTCTTTCTTTTTTTCTTTTGACCATTGATTATCTGCCATTACAGATAGAGGAACTTATTTTATATAAAACATTGATACTATTAATTATGAGATATTTGTAAATATTTCTCACTGGTAAATTTGTCTTTTTATTGTATCTTAATATATTTATTTATATTTAGGATAGTTTCAATTTTTAACTAGCCAATTCTAAATTGGATTATATACTTATCCCATGTTTTCCATTATTAAGCATTCATGCTTTACCGTGTTTTTATAGAAACATTAAAAATTATACACTTTATTCATTAACAATTTTTATACTGAGACCAATATTTTTGCCTACTTTTCCAACCTATTAAAAACAAGTTTTATATCATAAGAATGAAAATACTGTCACCCAGTCTGACTTTGGCCATTACAGAAAACACCCCTAATAATATTTCTAGTGGTAGATGTTTTTAAAATTTCACCATTCAATATTGTCTGTCACAGATTTAATAGTTCATATAAGTCTATAACCCCAATGTTTCTATCATAATAGTAAAATACGTTTTTGTTCCCTACTTAATTATCTGGGTTTAGAAACACACATCACTTTATGTGAAAAACAAATGCACTAAATGCATTTGCAGTGATTAGCTCGTTTCTAAGCACAAAAAAATTGGGCGAAGGATAGTAGTTTTTAACTTTTTCTGTTTTCTCAGAACATGAAACTCAGGTGGAGCCCAACATTGTCAGGTACTATATAATGTCACGTGATAAAAGATGCTTTTACGTTTCGACTGCTGAATTCTGTAATCATTTGTTTTATTGAGGTGGAGACATAGACCTGATGATTAATTACAAACAATCAATTTTGATATTTTCATAATAAAAAACTTCACTACTTTTTCTACCCACAAGGTGTTAGCCTGAAGAAGTTGTTTTTAAATGAACTATAGCTATTCAGAAAACATCTAAAAATCTTCAAACACAGAGAAATTATTTGCATTGCACTAGTCCAAGAACTTCCCTAGGGGATGCTGAGTACTTTGTTGAAGTACTCAAGTGAAGAATGTATATTCAGAAGACAGGCTCATTAGCAGGCAAATCATAAAACGAGCAGCTACCACACAGTTTTTTGTTTGTTTGTTTCTCATCATAATGAAATCGTCCCTGAAAAATATAGCCAAGTGACTAATTGTGGCTGAAATTGGGCAATTACTCCTCAAATTAGCCAAATGTAGGTATAATTATTATTTTAATAATACTAATTTCCAGTGGTAATTTTTAAAGGAGAGCCTACATTTAGTGGAGACACAAGAACTCCAGCTACTTAACATATGGCAAATAGAACTTGATGTGTATGCGAGTGTGTGTGTGTGTGTGTGTGTGTGTGTGTGTGTAGGCAGAGAGAGGGGGGAGGGAGAAAGGGAGAGTAGAAAAATAATGGTGTAATGAGAAGATAATGTGTGTATGGGATAGGGAATCAATGAAGTAAAGACAAGATCAAGTGCTAATATTATAACATTAAGTTTTCTATGGAAATGCCCATGGAAATTGTCAAATAGGGGAAAATAACACTTCAAGTTAAAAAAAGTATTCAGCATATGTGAGAATCCAAGTGTATTTCTGAAACCAATCACAACTCTAATAAATTATTTTATAAAGTCACATCAGTGAAAAATTACGAATCTATTTTCTTATAACTTCTTACCTTTCTATGATTATCTCTCACCTAGCTTATTAAAATACCTTTCTTACTAGTCTTATTTTTTCTGTATTTTGCCCCACAGTAGCCAATGTGATTTTTAAAACCTATATATCTGAGCAGATCACTTCCTTGCTGAATATTTTGAGTATCCAACCACACTTAGGAAAAAACACAAAGACCTTTTCATAGCTTATGAGGTCCTCCGAATTGATACTTGTTGATCTCATTACTGACCACACCACACTATTTGTAACAGTCTCAAAACTCCTTCACTTGTTCCTTTTAAGCAGATTAGCCTGCTATCCCATAATCACACTAAGAAAAGTTCTACCCCAGATATTTGGCAATCACTGTTTGTTTTGTAGATAACCTAATGATTTTCTTCCCTCTTTTATTCAAATGTCATCCTACAATAGAAGCAGAACCTAAAGAGGATATGTTCGTGTTCTGAAGATCTCCTTAACCATCTTTTTAGATTAGGGCTCAGCAACCTCAAAACCCTTTCAATGGAACCTCATCACTCATTGCAGGACAAATTCTGAATTTAGCATAGCACCTAAGGTCTTCCACTATCTATCCCAGCCACTTTTGCAACTTCTACGTTTTACCAGTGCGTGTTTTGTGCAGTAAGTTATGGATGATAAAGAATTATTTTTACTTTATACTTTCACCCACAGCCTTGTCCCAACTTCACCCACAGCCTTGTCCCACCTTCTTCCCAATGCCCCACCATTCTATTGTTCAGTGCCTGTTTATGTAAGGTTGGCAAGCTAAATGTCCACAATGAAAAGTTTTATTGGAACAGCAGACATGCTCACTCACTCACTATTATCTATTACTGCTTTTGCACTACAACAGCAGAATTGAGTAGTTGCTGCAGAGACTGTATGGCTCACAAAGCCTAAACTATTTACTGTCTGGCCCTTTGCAGACAAATTTATTGATCTCTGCATTAGGTTAGATACAAGGGTCCTCAGAGCCAAGTTAGTGTATAACATAAATTATAGCAAATTAAGCAATTATAGCATTCATTGCATACATCACAGGTATCCTGTAAATGTTGTACATCCATTTTTTTTTCATTTAATTGAGATATCAACCCTCTTGGGTAAATATAACTATTTTTATTTTAGAAATTATAGAACTGAGTTTTAGAAAGATTGAATAACTAGATTGAGATCTGAGTAGCAGCTTTCCTACCCTCTGCTCCGTATTAGAATCTAGCTTTGTCTGATTAAAACTCTTAACATTATCACATAAGATACTTTATTCAGGAAAATGTGCCTTTGTTTTTGTATTAGAATTTCATTTTGAAATAATTATAGAGTCACAGGACGTTGTACAGGTATGTAGAGCAGGATATAAACGAATGTACAGGAAGGTCACATGGATTCAAACCAAGTCTTCCTCAATATAACTCTGAACCTTAAAACTATGCTACAGATACTTTTGAGATTTCAAGTTGCCTAGGTTAAAGAGCAAAGTGAAACAGCATGTCTGGATAAAGGGACCTTCCAGAGGCCAGGCTGTAGTGTGCTCTTGGCTACCAGTCTCCTAGTGGGCGAACCTGGTGCATACAGACCTAACAGATTATTTTAGTGTCTACCACATATGTTAAATTGATGTTGAATGAGAATTACTAGGGTCAGGAACATTTCATGTCATGTAGTCTGCCATTACTATAGCACTATAAATGCACAGTGAGGCCATTGATAGATCAGGCACACTATGCTAAGTAAAAACTAAGATTCTAATACTTAATACCTGACACTTTCTATAGGAAAATTCTTTAGTTTTTCTTGAATTATTTTACGTAATCCTCATAAAAGTAATATTTAATTTTTGTTTTGAAATAATTATTGATTCATAGGACATTGCAGAAAATGTATAGAGAAGTCCCATGTCAACTTCATTCAGTCTTTTCCAAAGTTAATACTTTCTACAACTATACAATTGTACAGTATCAACACCAGTAAGCTATTATTAGTGTCATCCATAGTACTCATTCAGATTTTACCAGTACACAGGCACCCCTTTGCTTGGGAGTGTGTACAGTTTATCGTATGCACAACCTCATGTCTCACCAAGAAAATCAAGATACTTACCTGTACGTTGGCACAAGGTTCTCTTGTCTTACCCATTTGTAGACATATCTATCCCCTTCCAGCTCACCCCTATCATTTGGCAGCCACTGATCAGTTTTTCTTCTCTATAATAATGTTATTGTATTGCACAAATATTACAAAAATGGAGCTATGCAATATGCATGTTTTTAAGACTGGCTTCTTTTATTCTCTAAGCATAATTTCCTTTAGGTTTATGGAAGTTCTTAGGTGTGTTTATGCAAGTTCTTAGCTCATTCCTTTTTATTACTGAGTAGTGTTTCACGGTATGTATGAATGTATCATTGCTTAACCATTTATCCACTGAAGGACATTTGGGTAGTTTTCTATTTACAGGTATTATAAATTAAGCTACTAAGAATATTTGTTTACAAGGCCCTGGGTGAAAATGACTTGTCATTTCTCTGCAACAAATGCCCAAGAATGCAATTTCCAGGTTGTATGGTAAGTCTATTTTTAGTTTCAAAAGAAACTGACCGTCTGTTTCCCAGAGTGACTGTCCTTTTTTTATATTTCCCAAAGCAATAAATGAGTGACCGGCTTGCTCCAAATCCTCACCAGTTTTTGATGTTTTGCTATTTTTTATTTTTGAGATTTTGATAGAGTTTTAGTAATACTTTATAATGGTTTTAATTTGCATTTCTTTAATTGCTAAGAAAATTAAATGTCTCTCATATTTTTATTTGCCACATAATCTTCAGTAAAGTATCTGTGCATGTATTTTACTCACTTTCTGCCTGGATTGTTTTGCTTGTTTCACTGTTGAGTTTTAAGAGTCCTTTATATTTTATATCTATTGTCAGATATGTGACTTGAAAATATTTCTTTCACCATGCAGCTTATCTTTTCATCTTTTTCTCAACGTAAAAGGTTTTAATTTTGGTAAGTTCCAATTTATCAATTGTTCCACTTATGGTTCTTGCTTTTGATGCTGAGTCTAAGAACTACTTGCTAAGTCCTTGTTCCCAAATATTTTCTACTATGTTATTTTCTTAGAAGTTTTATAGTTTTATGCTTTAAATCTACAATCCATTTTTGCTTAGCACCATTTATTAAAATTAAAATTGTTTTGGCAATTTTTTGGCTTTGCCTTTCTATAAAAATTTTAGGACAAGGTTTTCTGTGTATGCAGTAAATATGGAGATTTTGTACTTGTGTAATTCATAAATCAATTTAAGGAAAATTGACAACTTTACTCTGTTGAGTCTTCCAAATTGCATTCATATTATGTCTCTTCAAGTAGTTCTTTAATTTCTTCCACTAGCATTTTATTATTTTTATCATACAGAATCTGTACATCCCATGTTAGGCCCATATCTAATATATCTTTTTTTTTTGGAAAAACTGTAAATGGTATTGTGGGTTTAACTTCTGTTTACACTTGTTTATTTTTGGTATCTAAAAATATGATCGATATTTGTTGATTATATGTCTTGTGACTTTATTTAGCTCACATAAATCTATTTGGTTTTTACTTGTGTAGATTCCTCGGGGTTTCCTACATAGAAAATCATGTTGTCTGCCAAGAGAGAGCATTTCATTTCTTTCTTTCAAACCTGCCATGCATTTTATTATTTTTTTCTGTCTTATTGTAGTGCCTGAATTTCTAGTACTATGCCAAAAAGAGTGGGGAGAGAAAATAACCATGCCTCGTTCCTGATTTTCAAGAAAGGTATTCAGTTTTTCACCATTAAATTCCTCTCTATTCCAACATAATGAAAATTAATAATCATATATGAGTACACAACTTTGTGAAATGCCTTTTCTGCTTCAGTTAATATCATCATGTGACTTTTCTACTTTTACCTGTTGTAATGGTGGATTGCATGATTGATTCTTGAATATAGAACCAGCCTTGTATACCAGGAATAAATAACCTAATATAGTTATGGTGTATTATTGGTTTTTATACATTGTTGGATTCAATTTACTAAAATTTTGTTAAGGTTTTGTGTATGTACATTCATGAGTGATTTTCTTTGCTTGTTTTTTATGCTGAGATTGTTTTTTTTGTTAGAGAACCACCAGCCTTAAAAGATGAATTGGAAGTTTTCTGTTTTCTATATTCTAGAAAAGATTGTAGATATTTGTGTTACTTTCTTTCCTAAATATTTGATAAATTGATCTACTAAAACCACCTGGGCATAAATATTTTCTTTTTTGGAAGTCTTTAATTAAAAATTCAATTTTTAATGGTTATAGAACTACACACATTATATTATCTTGGGTGACTTTTGATATCATATTTTTTCAAGGAATTCTAAGTTGTTGAATATTAAAATGTAAGTTTACATATAGTATTTCTTTATTATCTTTGTGATGGTTGCAGGTTCTGTTTGGATATTCCATTCCTCACGTTGTTGAGTTGTAGCTCATCTTTTTTATCTTTATTGATTTTTTCAGATTTTATGAGGAGCCCTATCTGATGCAAGCAGCCAGTTAATGTGTGTGTTAAGATCACCCAAAACTGAATTTTAGTCTTCTATGAGGACTATTCTCTATAGTTTGGTATCCTATCTGAATGCATATGCTGGTAGCTTGAATGGGTTTCTGTTTTTCCTTTGAAGTTTTCTGTTGTGTTTGAATGACTGGATAATGAACACACGTTAATCTTACCACAATAATATGGTAATGTTTCTTTAAAATAATAGGAATTTGTATTACCTTGAAATTATAAATGGTCAGAACTTTTAAAATGAAATGTTCTAAAATAAGGGTTTTAAAAATGTTGAATGCATTGTATTTTTAAGCTGGCATAGACTTTTCAATTTCAAAATCACTCTGGCTAACATTTGGGACCTTTTAACAATCAGGCAGTATGTAATTTGGAAGTGAAATCCTGCTGTATTAAATTCTGATCCTTTTTAATAAGATGCTTCTAGATGAGCTCAATTGTAAACTGTCAAAAAGGTCAGCATTTATTATGTAAGAGAAATATATGATGTGGTACAAGGAAGCCAAAGGCCAACCTGACCAAGAATCTATTTACCAGTCAAAACCTTAAATCCCCAACATGAGAGTCTCTCTGAAGAATTAAGACTTTCTCCCCCAGATGAGATGCCTTCAGGCAAAGCATGAATCAATGATGTGGATTGAATTACAAATTATCTATGTGACACTTATGAGCCTTATCTAACACAAAAATTTAAGGCCTTTTAATTACTGTGCAGGGCAGTACCAATCTTGCAACTGCCCAATCTTTTGATATTAAATAGCAGATATTTGCCTAAAGATCTTCTTTGTCTCTAAAAAACTATAAAACCTCACAATTGTGTATACTAACATCCCTTCTAGAATTCCAAAAAGGGTCTCTGTATTGAACTATATTTAATAATGTTAAGATAGTGACTCACATAATCCAACTATACAATAGTTCTGAAGTGTACTAAAGTACACTCTGACTGACTTTACTTTCCTTTTTTCAGATTTGTGGGGTGATAGGATTCCTATAATTTTTAGTACAGTTATAGATTACCACCATCCACCACCACAATTAGCATAACAATCTTCCATCACCCACAAAATCTGTTATGAGAACATTTTGTAGTCACAACCTCCCCCAACCCTTAGCAATCACTGATATGTTTGCAATGTATTTTGTCTACCTGAAAATGTCATACAAGTGAAATCATACAGTATGCAATCTTTTCTAAAATTTCTAACTCCTGTGCATATCATAAATAGTAAGTATATGCATTTTTGGCTTACATGAGATATTTTGATACAGGCCTGCAATGCATAATGAGGGTAAATGGGGTATCCTTTATCTCAAGCATTTATTCTTTATATTACAAACAATCCAATTATACTGTTTTAGTTATTTTTAAATGTACAATTAAACTATTTTTAACTATTGCCACCCTGTTGTGCTAGCAAATACTAGGCCTTATTCATTCTTTCAATATTTTTGTACACACTAACCATCACCACTACCCACCCCACACTCCTTTCCAGCCTCTGGTAATCTTCCTTCATTCTCTATCTCAATGAGTTCAACTATTTTAATTTTTAGCTCCCACAAATAAGTGAGAACATGCAAAGTTTGTCTTTCTGTACCTGGCTTATTTCGTTTAACATAAAGACTGCCAGTTTCATCCATGTAGCTGCAAATGACAGGATCTCACTCTGTTTTATGGCTGAATAGTACTCCCTTGTATATATACCACATTTTACTTATTTATTCTTCTGTTCGTGGGCACCTAAGTTGCTAATATATAGAAGTATAATTGATTTTCTTTTCTTTTCTTTCCTTTTTTGAGACGGAGTTTCGCTCTTGTTACCCAGGCTGTAGTGCAATGGCACGATCTCGGCTCACCACAACCTCTGCCTCCTGGGTTCAGGCAATTCTCCTGCCTCAGCCTCCTGAGTAGCTGGGATTACAGGCACACGCCACCGTGCACAGCTAATTTTTTGTATTTTTAGTAGAGACGGGGTTTCACCATGTTGACCAGGATGGTCTCGATCTCTCGTGATCCACCCGCCTCGGCCTCCCAAAGTGCTGGGATTACAGGCTTGAGCCACCGCGCCCGGCCGCATAATTGATTTTCATGTGTTGTCTTCGCATTCCTAAACCCACTCATTAGTTCAAGGAATTTAGGGATTCCTGGATAATTTCTCAATAGGTAATCATGCCATCTGCAAATAAATGTAATTTTATTTCTTTTTTTCTGATCTATATATTTTGTAGTTATTTTTCTTTCTTTAATCCACTGGATAAACTTTCCTGTACAAAGTTAAATAGAGTGACATCCTTGCTTTGTTCCCTATCTCAGGGGGAAAACAGTCAATCTTTCACCATTAACTATAATACTAGTGTCAAAAGATCCTTGGGGTGCTGCTTCAGCAGCCAGAAACCTCCGTGACCAGTGGTGCTTTTGCCCAAGTTTTGCTTGAGCCTGCTGGGCTTGTTCCGCCCACTCAGCCTGGCAAGCTGTACTAGGCTGACACAACTGGCCCTGATCCAATAACTGCCAAGGGTGAGCCAGGCATGGAGCAGCAAGGGGTGTGTGAGTGAGTGGGCACAGGGTCCAGCCTTCATGCACAGCGAGGTACACCGGCTGCAGTGGGGCAGGAAGCTCCAGGTGCTGACATGGGTGTGGCTCCCTGTGAGTCTGCAAATAAACCACACGTATTGCAAGCAGTTTTCACTGTGGACACCAGGGAACATGGGACCACCTGGAAGCTTGGTGATGCCGGGAACTGCAAGAGACCCAAAGAGGATGTCACAGCTCGGGGAGCTCTTAAGTCTGGGCTCCCCAAAGGGCTACAGCTTGTCCCCCTTTCTATCTTCTCTCTTTCTCGTTGCCTTCAATGTGGCAAGCAGAGAGGCATGTTCAGCCCTATTTGTGTTACAGCTCTTTCAGTCTCACGATTTGGTGGGTCCCAAGTTCTTGTCCAGCATCCAGGAAGAATTAGGTAGGCAGACAACTGGAAGGTGAGCAAGGCAAAGAGGTGCTCTATTGAGTGACAGCACAGCTCTCTGGAGACACAAAGTGGGTAGATCCTCTCTGCAGGCAGGTCCTCCCATCTGCTCGAATCTGGCTGAGTCCAGGTTCCTATGGGCTGCAAAGGGAGGAAGTGTACAGGCCCATGAGTGGCCATGGGTAGGCCCAGAAAAAAAGCACCCTAGGTTCTAGCTCCACAGAACTGGGAATTGGCACCCAGGATTCAGGTCGTTCCTGGCTTGAAGGTAGAGCTTCACCAGGGACATGCCCTGTTCCGCCCAGAGCCTGTCTGCCTCTTGCTGCCTCTCAATGTCATCCATGGTCCCCAGGCTGTTTATGTCAAGGGGAGCCTGCAGGTCCATGCTGAGCTACACTCAGCCCTTCCTTGGGCTCCGTCCCATATTTATCAGTGCCTAAAGTCCAGAGGGAGCTGAGGAGGCAGGGTGCTGGTATGTCAGTGCTGCCTGGAGCATGTGCACACCCAGCTGGGTTGTGACAGTGCCTGGGCTCAGCCTCACTTTGCTCTGAAATTCAAACATGCACTGGGAGCAGGGGGAAGCGAGGCAGCTGGAGCTGGCACTTTCATGCCTGCAGGGGCACACCCACGGGCACACACCCACCGCTGGGTGGCTGCAGCTGCACCTGGGAGCACCAGCTTCTGCCCCACCAACTTGGAAGGGGACAGGGCTTCCACCTATTCCTGGTTCCATCTGGCTCCAGGGAACATGTAGTAACCCAGGCCTTGCCTACCCCAAAGCAACCTACTTCTCTGCGGCAGCAGCTCCAAATGGGCTGCTGCTGCCATCACTAGCTGTAGATTGTTTTTATGAACAGTTTTTCAAGTTGATCAAGTTGTCTTCCATTCCCAGTTTGATATTTATCAGTTTTATCATAAATACATGTTGAATTTTGGCACGTTACTATGATTATTTTTTTTCATTTTTAGACTGTTAATATGACAGGTAAAATTGGTTGGTTTTCAAATATAGACCCAGCCTTACATTCCCAGAACCATCTCTATTTGTGTTTTAAAAACATATATCTGAAATTGAGTTATTTCTTGTCCTATGTTGTTTTGATATCAAAGCAGTAATAGGTTCATAAATGAGTTGGGAAGTATTTTGTCTTCTATTTCCTGGATGAGATTTTATAGAGTTTGTTTTGTTCGATAGGCAAGGAGATTTCTCTTTTTGGATGTTTCTACTACAAATTTAATTTCCTTAATAAT